TATTTTAGCAGTCCGGCGTTCTTCGGCTTCGATTAAGGCCCTAAGTTCGGAGGGATATTCTTCTGTCAGCTTGGGATTATTTTCGCTGCGAGAAGCGGTACTCTCCTCTGTAATCCCTGATGTACCCTCAGAGGGATTTTTGGGAAATGCGGCGCCTTTTTCCTTACTTGTTTGTGCGATCGCTGCCCGCCTAACAGCAGTGACAGCAAGTTTTCTAATTGTGCTGGCGGGATGATTGTGACTTGGCTATCTTCCGAGTCTTTTACGTTCCACCTAGAGCTACTGAGGCCCTCTTGAATATAAATGTCGATTGTTCTATCGGACATTTCGATGTCTGGATTGCTAGAGCTGGTATTTTCTTCGAAGGCATTGATCCTCTCGATAATCTCTATATCCATTTTTCCATACTCGATGTTTTTTACTGTCGAATTCTTGTCGATCATACGTTTGATCACTTTCTTGTACGCTCTTCCGAGGGCGTCTCGTCCTTCATAGTCATAGACTCAGTAGGGACTTTAATATAATATAATATAATTCTATTCTATCCGAGGGCGTCGATAACACGGTCCTCACGCAATTTTTTGGGTTGCCCCAGTGCGATTCCGAAGGTTGGGGGCTTGTCACTGAGATCACAATTTTCTGATGAATGCGACGAGCGCGAAAGGGAGGGAGAGGGGGAAAAAAGGGATATTCGAATATTCGAATTCAAAAAATTGTATGTGTATGTGTGTTTTTTATTGTACTACTTGAGTCTATGACTATCTAGCACATTGGGCTCCTCTCTGACCCAGGCCACACCTTGTTCAGTGCTACTATACTATTTTGTTACTCGAAAGATCATTTATATATTGCTCGTGATGAACAGCCATTCAGCTCAGTGCTTACCCGTGGAATTCGGCCACCTTTTCCACGAAACCTTTACAGGAAAAAAATGTGGCAAAGGAAACTGCGTGCGCGGGGAAAGTCTCAAAAACCCTGCAGCCCCAGCCAAGCGAGGCCTAGACACTGGGACCACATGAGGTGCCCATATTCATCTACATCTCCCTTCTTTATAACATTCTAGGTCAACATTATCCAATCCGCCATCTCCGTATCAGGTGCTGGGTACGCTCCGGATACTCATGGGATGGCTTTTCCTCCATAATCAAGGGTTGGTGATGAGTAGGGCTCCGACCCTGACATCTGATCTGATCGTAGTTAGCGTCATGATAATGGTGATAGGGGAATGTGTTGAGGGATGAAGACGATACAGACCGCGAAAGCGATTGACAATACTTATGGAGTGAGGACTTTGTTACTCAATCTCAGCTCTGCAGGCTCTACAATGAGAGCTGGAGTTTCGTAGGGGACACCACTGACAGGTGTTGAGAATAGTCCCCCCCTGACTATCAGTACATAGACTTCATCTGTAGCAGCAGGGCTCTCCTGTCAACATTTACAACGCAATACCGTGTCCCACCTATCTTTCTTGAGAATATGTCACATCTAAATAGCTGAATACACATTTTTAATTCATTTTATTGTCCTGTCTGAGTCTATGACTACGTAGGATATGCAGGTCCTCTCTGCCGACAGTCCAAGGATACCGATACTAGTAGTATATCCCTTCCTATGCCTCCCATATAGCTGAGGTTTCCGAGCGCGCGTTGTAAACTTAGTAAAGGGTTAGGTGGGCGTAAGAATGAAAGGGTATCACGTGGTGTCTCGTGGCTCCTAGCTATAACGGATCTTGTGTAGAGCTTGAGACTAATACGTGAATTCTATATCCTTCAAGTGTCGGATGTCTATGTGTCTATATACATTGACTCTTCCTTACTCCTCAACGCTAGAAGATCTGCTGCTGTGGTCGCGGGCTCTGACAGTTCGATTTCCTGTGCGTGAGGTCATAGGATAATTACGATTACGTGTGTGCCGTGTTTCCTACATCTAGCTAATTCGTGCCCTGTAGATCTATCCGGGTTCCACACAGCTCCCCTCAAACAGTACCACCCCTCACAAGTCCTCATTCGATCATACACTTAGAGGAGCCCTTAACCCTTCATCATCTCCCCTCTCCAGCCAACGAAAAGATGGCCATTTGCGGGTGTATGGCAGCCGGGAAAAATCGCAAAAACCACCAGGTGCGGAGCTCTCCTAATACCGACATTAGGACTAAATCCGAAGACACATTGTCCCTTCTGAAGCGTTCGAAGAGGCCGGCCAGCTTGGCGCTACAGACTTGTGTGTACCTCGGGAAATTCACCCTCTACCTTTCTAGCTTCATTCCAACTCCTTCCTGAAGGTCGTGCTGAAATGTCAGAAAAGTCTTGACAGAGCGTGATTGCTGTATAGTAGCTTAGCCTAACTTCTTTTGTGCCGTCCAGGGCGCTAGGGAGTGCCGTTGACTCATCGAAAATTGAAGGCCTCCAGGCAAATTAGCCGAAATATAGTTCTTGGCGCCCACAAACGTTCTAAAGTTGAAAATCCCTCGAAAATATCAGTCCCAGCATGGTCTTCAGAGACCTGTTCCGCCTCTCGCTGCAGGTCTCAGCCGCCTTTTCTCCCTCAAGTTGTTTGCTCATCAGAGCAACAGTCCCCCATAAACCAAGACCCAGGCTTTGTATTTTTCGACTTGATTCCCTCCTTGCGGGTATGAATAGCGTCGTAAATATGTAGTGAGAGATGGCTGGAAATGAATGGGGCAAGCTTCCCCATGCAGTTGGGCCAAATCCCTTATCGGTCGTTGAGGCGAGATGATGAGTGATTGGAAAGTGGATGAGGAATTAGATGAGAATGATAAGAGCGGTATTACCGAGAACTCGTCAGATGGAGATGTGCTTGAGGTTGCTTTCGAATTTGATTCGGATGAGATTCTTCTTAGCTATCCCATATAAGCAGATCTAACTGAGCGATTACACCGGCACCACTGGAAGGTGAAGAACTCGTTCATGCCGACTAAGGGTTTCGTTGCTTACGCAGTCAAAAGTGTCGTTGAAAATATGTTTCTCTCACCGATTGATAGATTAAGGATGATCGGACCACATCTCATGGCGTGCGGGGTAATGAGGAGAGACAGTCTAACCTATTGTGAGCTAGCCCAACTGCGCCTACAGGGCGAATCCCTTAAACAACCCAGTTTCAAGGTCAACATTTTGGAACCTAGAGGGACAGTATGCCTCGGGTAGCGTACGCCCTCCCATGCCTCCTTTACGACTTCTATCCAGCAGTAATACCTCCAGATATCATCATTTGACAAAACACTTAGAGGAGCCGTCATCCCGTCACTATCTCTCCTCTCCAGTCAACGAAACGATGGCCATTTGCGGGTGTGTAACTGAAAGGAAAAGTCTCAAAAAAAATCACCTAGGGCGGGTCTCTCTTATGATGAAGAGGCCGGGCGCAGCAGACCTGTATATTTAAGAGCATCCCTCAACTTCCCTAGCCTCCCCCTTACTCCTTACTCGGTTTTTGCCGCAGGACAAACCCAAGTTCGTGAAAGGATGTCAGAAAAGTCTTGGTCGAGAGAGACTGCCGTGATGGAGCTCAGCCTAGCATCTAAAAGTCGTTACAGACGTGGGATAGTCGGGTAACCCATGTATTTGAGAAGCTCTCCTAGCTAGTTCAATTGGAAGTAAAGATTAGAAGGGACGATGTGATTGACGAATCGAATTCTGCCTCGAGGGCGGGAGGGTCTATTACTTTCTATCAAACAACTGATAGTTTGGAACATACTAAATCTAGTAATGACAATCATTGGGTATTGGGATGACCCATCCTATCGTATTAACTCTTTAGAGCTTTGATATTTCACCGAGGATATGGTGATCTAGATATTCAGAATGTTCCGCATGATTACAATGATCAGGACGAGCAATATGATCAAAGCTCCAACTTGAGATCTTTTGATCTCCAACACATGTAACTTAATTTAGATGTAATTTTGGGGAACTAGTAGAAGATATTCCCTTCCGGAAACAGGTTTAAATGGGTATATATCACCAAGGCCAGAGAGCAGTATAGCAGAGACTCCATCAATATGCCTTTGCTTTAAATTTTTCATTTGACTCTCAATGTCTTACTCTTTGCATCCATGGGCTTTTTGTTCGCCCGCTGGTCGCTAGCACAAAATGTGATAAATCGAGTGGTTCTCTGAATATCGTTGTCACATTTTGTTCCACGATATCTTTAACAGAGAAGGGAATAGCTCAACTTAAAGTTGAAAAGGTGTTACTCAATCTCGGCTCTGCGGACTCTACAGTGAGTGTTGGAGGTTTGTAGGGAACATCACTGACAGAGGTTAAGATTCCCCAACATAATACAAGTGTATATATACTTAGAACTTTTCATGAAAACCTCAAACCTCTACACTACACTTTATATCAACCTTGGTGCCTGATTTAGGATACATACGTAACACATCTCTTCGGATTTTTGCATCATGCATGCTACAAACCTCTCGGCCTCAAAGTTTTGATCGTCAGCTGTTGTCTAAATACTCAGGTGGTATTTATTCCACAAGCTTTCTATAGCAGTAAAGATGACTGGTGGATAACATAAATCTTGATTCTTTTCTATCGCTAATCAAATACGAATTCGGATTAATTATTCTATACCCTTCCCCTAATGCTATTCCTGAACAGGTAACTCACTACTCATAACAATTGGTCACATCAAATGGATGAAGAGAAATGAAGATATTCTAGTGCAGCTATAATGTACATGTACGCTATTCTCTTTCATTTGTTTGTTACAAGTGTTTGATCATGTACTTCCTAACATGTGATTACTAATTATATAGATGAGTAATAAGTTACCAGTTTGGGAATGGCGTTAAGGGAGGGGTACAAAAAAATAAATACAACTATTTTGATGTGGAAAATCCGAGGTCTAAGGCTTATGATAACCACCAATTATTTTTACGACTATAGAAATCTTGTAAAATAAATACCACCGGAGTATTCTGGCAGATATTTTGTTTGAAGATATCAAGAGTCTTCCCTCATTCAACCCTGATACTAAATATGAAATTGAGGGATATAGTATGCAACATTGGAACACATAGAGCTAACTCTAACGTAAGTATTGATTGAAAGGGCAGTGAGTTGCTAGTTAATGTGTGTAGGCAAAATTTTGGAATAATACTCCAAAACTCACAGCGACTGAGTTTAAATATTTCTCGCAAAATTACAGTTCTAAGAAAGAGGATAAATCACATATGCTTAAAGAATTGACTGCAGAGCTCATGGAAGCTAAGGCTAGAAAGCAACAGATTCAGAATGGATCCAGGGCCCTTGAAAAGGTGCCTGTTTCTTGTCCTAAAGTATGAATTTATCTCACAATTTGTAGGACTTTATTGTCTCTGTCTTAAGTGCCTCAGTTACCAAAAGAGAAACTAAATCTTATTTACAACGCTTTTTACCAGCTGGAGGTAAAGATAAATCCTTCTTCCTCCCTGAAACACATAATCGGGAATGGCATAAATTCAGCCTCAACATGTCCCAAACGCCAAATGCAGTGAAACAAAGTCCCAAATTCGAACATCAGCCAGCATTATCGATTGATGTCGAAAAAAGCACAGAGCTTCACGTCGCATTAGTTAAAATAAGGGCAATTCATACTGTTTGCGATGACGTACTTGATGGGATTGGGAAGACCCTATCTCAGCTCAGCAGACTAGGCTTAACAAGTATTGTGGCCTTAGACTTTAACAGCGAAAATGGACCTCCTTCGACACGTGAGAGGAGAAATACCGACCAGATACTGTTCGAAATAGAGCATGCTAACCGGCTTATCTCGGCTTTTGATAAAATTGGAGAGACAAAAGCCCGGCTAATTGATAATATTATTAGCATTGGAGAGAATCAATCTGACGGAATAGGGGCAAAAGTAGAATTTCCTGATTTATTGATGGCACCAATAAAGCGAGGAATTATACCTGTCATATTGCCAATAGGTTATACAAATGCAACCCACACTGCTCTTACAACATCAGCCAGTGATATAATCTTGGCTTTGACCAAACTACTTGTTAGAACCTCGACAAATTCGATGACTGAAGCAGACTCAACGGCTTCGAAGAATGGAATGTATGATTTGAGGGTCGAGACGTCAATAGATCGGCTTATAATTCTAGATCCCTTGGGTGGCATACCAGCATCAAACATATCTGGAGGATATCATGTATTCCTTAATATGGAGCAAGAATTTGATTCAGCTAGGAAAAATCTATTACACGGATTAAATGTATCAAAACAGAAGATAAATCTCGATGCCGAAACAGCGGCATTCAAGTTATTTGAGACGGATCATTCTAGTCCCTTTAAAGGATTTCATGAAAGAGAGCTTGAACTTACAAAACAATCCATAACGACAACACGGATTTTGGAAACAACAAATTTCAATCTCGAAAACCTGATCCATATCGAGAATCTTAGTCTTGCAAAGGCTGTTTTATCCAAACTTCCACCAAGTTCCTCTGCTCTCCTCACGAGTCTCGATGATGCAGCGAATTCAGCGAAGAACATGGTCCTACAACCAACCCAAGTCGGTACAAGACGTCAACTCAATCCACTAATTCACAATCTTCTCACTGATAAACCTATTTTCTCTTCTTCGCTCCCTGCTAGTCGTAGAGGAAAACTATCTCCCTGCACAAGAAGTACCTCAAATCTAGGCAACACAACACCCTCAACATTCGTCAAGCATGGTATGCCAATCGTTATATTCCCAAAGCTAAGTCAACCAACGCTCTCTCTATCATGTGGACAACCCAAACCATCACTAACAAACCCTGAAATTGACCTTGACCGTTTGATTCATCTAATTGAGGATTCATTCGGCCGTACTCTGGATGTCCCCTCCTATTTATCCCGCATTAATTCCTGTCTAGCAGGCGTTATTATTGCCGGCTCATATGAGGGTTGCGCTATACTTACCTGGGAGACTCCGCCAGGTATCGATCCATCTGATGTGAGCCGCAAAGTACCATACATTGACAAATTTGCTGTTCTTAAACGCTCTCAGGGAGTGGGAGGAGTCGCTGATTTGATATTTAAAGCAATAGTCCGAGACTGCCTTCCTTCTGGTGTCGCCTGGCGAAGTCGCTCGGAAAATATGGTCAATAAATGGTACTTTGAGCGCAGTCGAGGCAGCTGGCGTCTACCTGATACTGGGTGGACTATGTTCTGGACAACACCAGAAGTAACTTCTGATAAACATATTTTTTTAGATTATGAGGCTGTGTGCAGAGGTATTCCCAGTAGTTGGAGTAAGTAGAGGAAAAATATTGAAACATAAAATCTTAATTTAAAGATTACGTTCAAAAATATCAAGGTAACGTTTGACCCCTTGTGCGGATGGAAACATCTTAGAGATGCAAGATATCTGATTCAACCAAGTTTAGAAACTGTAAATTGCGCAAAAGGTAAAACTGTTGAAAGATTTATAATCAATATCTGTTAGAAGTTAGAATAATTGGGGCTATTAAGCAGCCCACCTTGTTGACACACAAGCGACTATCAAACCTGTACTTAGTTTCACTTCGGTAGTTGAATCAAAGCGCTCTATAGCCTCAAGAACTGAGGGATCATTATTTCCTCCTAACATCCTATATCAAACCTGACATTGTACGAGCACTACTGAACATATCGTACTTCGTGTCATAAAATCATTCTATATTCTGCATAATTTTCTCAGGCTGTAAACGGTAAGTGGGGAACGATACTAAACACTTAAAAATTATATCACCTACGAGTCTCCAGCTGCCACTACAAAGTCTACAGAGCCGAAATTGAGCAAAATTTTCCTCACTTCCTGTGACGGCTAGTGAGCCGGAGGACGAAGGCTGAACACCTGTCAGTGGTGTCCTCTACGAACCTGGGAGTGAAATATTCTCCCAGAGCCGAGATTCAGTCACGAAAATGGGTGGGATGAATTTTAATTCATGGATTCTCGACTTCAAGGAGTTGCACTCGATATTTTGGTCGGAAAATCAGTCGGCAGAGATTTCACAGCCGGAAAAACGTCGAACAAAAAGTCATCACCACTAACATACGTTTCACAAATGGATTTAGGTCTGTTTGGGGGTCGTATTCAAACATCCGACATCTCTTAAACTCCTTTTATACTTGCGACGAAGCATTTCTCAATCGATCTTACACCTGCGACCTACCTCCATACCCGTCCGATCACCTACCTACACACGCCCTAATGAGGAAAGTCATGGTGGAAACGGGACGTGTACAAAGGAGGAAGAAGAGGGAAGATACACCGAGGGGATTACACAAATCCCCAATGACGAAAACAATCCAACGGTACGATATGAAGGTGCAAGGCTAGAGCAACAATGAGATCTTGGACGGCATTTATATTTCGGAGTCAATGAGAATGTCAAGGGCTCGGGCGCGTGGTGGCCGAGGCTGAGGAGGAAATCGCGCTACGGCGTGTATACAGTGGGTTTCTGGACGGTTAGGCTTGGTATGATTCAACACATAGGTGAAGTCTGAGGTAGTCCGGTCATTGAAATGGGACGAGGTTTATCTGTACTTCACGGTAGTTAACCTGATGCGGCCCAACCCCACACATGCTTAAGCTCCAATAGGAGTGCAATAGTAGCCATGTAACCTAGCACGTTAATGAACAAAACAAAACAAAAACGGCTAGTGAGCCGATAAGATCCCTATAGCCTGTGCTATTCAGCACAGACATATTCATAGTGTCAGCGCTAAGTTGCGCTCGTATTGAAAGTCGGGAACTGCCCGTGTTTGAGACACTTTTGGAAACTAGCGCACATCTTAATAATGGGAGCCGGACTAGTGGACAGAGACTAGTGTTTGGAATATTGGAATCATGTATATATAGGGCGTTAGATGTAGCCTTACTCTTGCTCTTCAGTTAATAAACAAACTTACCTTTCGACATACAAACGCCTAAGCTTTATATACCGGAACCGTTACACTTCCATAAGTTTCTCAATCGATCTCGCGATATATTTCGCCTTCATTTCAGAACATCTCCTTAGTATCATTATTACCAAGATAACCACAATAAAATATGATGTAGGGTGGAACTCTACTTATCTTCAACCCCTGATCATGCCGTAGAAGCTACCCGAGGAGTGTTCAGACCCCGATATGGTTATGGTGATTTGGATCAAGTTGACCTCAAATATCCCTGTCGGCACACTCCTGCGGAGTTATAAAATCACAAGCTTGTTGCAACGATATGGATGGTTCTCAGTAGATGTTTTTTATTTTCCTATTTCCCAGTGATGAGACTATTTACACATTCATTGATTTCTACGTTACGTCGTTCCCGATTAGGCAGCCCCACCAAGATACGCTTAACGTTATAAATCACATATTTAGACAGTTACAAAGAAGGGAGATCACAGAACAGGAAACCGGGCGATAACAGGAGGTACCTGCGAGCTCATCTTTCGCTCTCAGCGGAGATCATGGAAAGACACTTGGAAGATGCGACGGGAATGGGAACGGGCGAGAAGCGCGGGATCCTGACAAAATTTGAAATTCTTCTAAAATTTGATACCAGTTTTTGATATCAAATTTTGATTTTAGTTTTGCTATTAACTTTATCTCCTTTTGTTGAGGTTCCCGCGGTTGGAATGAGTTAGGCCTGTACGTAATGATCCTCGCCGGCTCCACCAGATGACTATTCTCAATACCTGTCAGGGGTATCCCTTACGAACTCCCAGCTCTCACTGTAGAGTCTGCAGAGCTGAGATTGAGTAACAAAGTCCTCACTCCATAAGTATTGTCAATCGCTTTCGCGGTCTGTATCGTCTTCATCCCTCAACACATTCCCCTATCACCATTATCATGACGCTAACTACGATCAGATCAGATGTCAGGGTCGGAGCCCTACTCATCACCAACCCTTGATTATGGAGGAAAAGCCATCCCATGAGTATCCGGAGCGTACCCAGCACCTGATACGGAGATGGCGGATTGGATAATGTTGACCTAGAATGTTATAAAGAAGGGAGATGTAGATGAATATGGGCACCTCATGTGGTCCCAGTGTCTAGGCCTCGCTTGGCTGGGGCTGCAGGGTTTTTGAGACTTTCCCCGCGCACGCAGTTTCCTTTGCCACATTTTTTTCCTGTAAAGGTTTCGTGGAAAAGGTGGCCGAATTCCACGGGTAAGCACTGAGCTGAATGGCTGTTCATCACGAGCAATATATAAATGATCTTTCGAGTAACAAAATAGTATAGTAGCACTGAACAAGGTGTGGCCTGGGTCAGAGAGGAGCCCAATGTGCTAGTTAGTCATAGACTCTTTTTTTAAATCATTTCATGTGTATTCAGCTATAAAGCTATGACACATGACCGGTGCTATGTATACATATTGGATGGCTCTTTTGACGTTAGAGACACTCTTGCTCTGGATTTCATTTGCAAATACCACTATGAGGTATGTTCGCTTACACAAACAGTCGACCCTCCTCCGTAACTACCCACCAAAGGGAAATTCAAAACCTTTGATTACCCAAGCATGCCTTCGTCATCCATATATACCAGCGCCGCGAGAAATGTGGTTGTGTTTTGCCGGCGTTGAAACAGCGACCTATTGTCTCGAGTGGGATATGTGTCCAAGCTATCCAGACTCTACTTGGCAGACCGGCCAAGACGATGTACCACCATACCATCCAACCATGGCGGTGTTTATAGTTGCGCCTGCACTCTCGCGACCGAAGCCTTGGCGCGCACAAAGCTCAATAGGTAAAAACTCCTTTCCAAATATTTTAAAATCCACGTCCGTCGAGACTGTATCCATCCTTCGCATCATCTTGTGAACTTGTCCTGATCCCTCTCACGTCCATCCCAAAGAGCAGTCTTCCAGATTTATGCACTACGCTTTGCTTCCTCCTGCGGGTATAAATATAGGCGTGGGCGTGTATTTGGTGACGAGCCGAGGCCAGAGAAAGTCGACGAGAGGTGTGATCAATGGAATGAGGATTTACTGGGTCGTACTTGTAGACTTGATGAGGCTTAGGTAGGATTCAATCTCTTTGGAAGTGAAAGATTGACGTGGTGGAATAATTTGAATCATTGCCTCGTGGGCCAACTTGACCGGTATTGCGAAATTTGACCGAACTTGGCTCTGAGAGAATATATCACTCCCAGATTCGTAAAGGACACCGCGTACAAGTTTTCAGTCTTGCCCTCCAATCAAAGACTGAACTAGTGTAATAAACACATCTCTTTCTCTCGCCGGCTCCACCGACCCTGTACCCAAAGTGGACCAAGAGCATTAGCTTAGGACCTTAAAATCAAAAAATGAAGGGGCATGTATATGGATATGCGCACCTCGTGTGATACCCGTGTCTTTGCCTCGCCCACCTGATACTGCAGATTTTTGGAAAATTTTCTCCGCTCGAGCCGTTTCCACGTCTCATTCTTTCAATTTTTTTGGTAGATTGCCTTGTAGAAACGGAACTTGAATTCCGTGAATGAATAGCGAGGTAAATGGTTATCATTATTATTAATTCATTTTATTGCCCTGTCTGAGTCTATGACTATGTAGGACATACAGGTCCTCTCTGCCTACAGGCCAAGGATACCTTTACCAGTAGTATATCCCCTCCTATGCCTCCCATACAGCTCCCCTCAAACAGTACCATCCCTCACAAGTCCTCATTCGATCATACACTTAGAGGAGCCCTTAACCCTTCATCATCTCCCATCTCCAGCCAACGAAACGATGGCCATTTGCGGGTGTATGGCAGCCGGGAAAAATCGCAAAAACCACCAGGTGCGGTGCTCTCCTAATACCGACATTAGGACTAAATCCGAAGACATATTGTCCCTTCTGAAGCGTTCGAAGAGGCCGGCCAGCTGGGCGCTGCATACTTGTGGGTACCTCGGGAAATTCATCCTCTACCTTTCTAGCTTCATTCCAACTCCTTCCCGAAGGTCGTGCTGAAATGTCAGAAAAGTCTTGACAGAGCGTGATTGCTGTATGGTAGCTAAGTTTAACTTATTTTTTGTTGTCAACTACTCTGAGGAGTGCCGTACACTTAACGATATATGTATAATATATATATATATATTTTTACATTAGATTTAAATTTTGTGGAATCATCGATAATAGAAGTACTCCTGGCTAGGTAATTGAAACCGTAGTCTTGGCGCCCACAAACACCTCACGGTCTAAAACTCTTAAAAACTTCGGTTCCAGCATGCCCGTTTGTGACCTCTTCACTCTCTCGTCCCACGTCCCAGCTGCCTTTCCTCCCTGAAGATGCAAATCCCCAATTGTACTACGGTCCCTTTGTGAACCAAGACCTAAACTTTACAAATTATAGTTTAGCTTTATCCTTTTGGGTGTATGTAGCATCGTATATCTGTAGTGATGATGGCCGATTTTGAGTGATATAAATTTCCGTTTACAATTGGTGCTACTACTTTTTCAGATTTTGAGGCAAGTTGATATGTGGTATGAGTGAATGGAAGGACTCGCGTGTGAAAGATTGGTCCGATATTGATGAGAAATCACCGATTTTAAATATGCCTGTGTATGCTTTCGAGTTAGATTCGGGTGAGATTCTTCTGCGCTACCTCAGATATGAAGAGTCTATTTAGCGTTTACATCGGCACCACTGGAAGTTGAAGAAGTTGTCCTTGCTGGTTCAGTTGTTTGGTTTTTTATTGCGCTTCTTAGATCAATAACTATCTAGCACCGTGCTCCAACCCTCTTTTTTTACGAGAAAAATATCTGATGAATTGCCCAGGATTGACAACCATTTACCTTAGCCGGCAAAGATGAATTTTTCACCTTCCAGTGGTGCCGGTGTAATCGCTCAGAATGCTCTGCTTATCTGGGATAGCCAAGAAGAACCGCATCCGAATCGAAGTCGAAAGCAAACATATGCATATCTCCATTTGACGACTTCTCAACCATGCAGCACTCATCATTATCTTCTGAGTCCTCAACCTCTTTCTAACCACATATCATCTCGCCTCGCCGACCGATAAAGGCGTCACCCCAATTTCAAATAGGAGCTTGCCTCATTCATCACCGGCCTTTACTCACTACAAATTTACGACGCTACGTATACCCACAGGGAAGAAATCAAGTCGACAAATACAAAGTTGGGGTCTTAGTTTATGGGGGACTGCTGCTCTAATGGGGCTCTACATTTCAGCCGCCTGTCCTTCATCGAGATGTATAACGAGAAGGGAATCAGGTCTCTGAAGACTATGCTGGGACTGACATTTTCGAGGGTTTTTCAACTTTGGATTTTTTGTGGGCGCCAAGACCGAGATATTGGCTAGCTAGCCAGGAGGACTTCTATTGTCGATGAGTCAACGGCACTCCCTAGCGGCCTGGACGGCACAAAAGAAGTTAGGCTAAGCTACTATACAGCAATCACGCTCTGTCAAGACTTTTCTGACATTTCAGCACGACCTTCGGGAAGGAGTTGGAATGAAGCTAGAAAGGTAGAGGATGAATTTCCCGAGGTACCCACAAGTATGCAGCGCCCAGCTGGCCGGCCTCTTCGAACGCTTCAGAAGGGACAATATGTCTTCGGATTTAGTCCTAATGTCGGTATTAGGAGAGCACCGCACCTGGTGGTTTTTGCGATTTTTCCCGGCTGCCATACACCCGCAAATAGCCATCGTTTCGTTGGCTGGAGATGGGAGATGATGAAGGGTTAAGGGCTCCTCTTAGTGTATGATCAAATGAGAACTTGTGAGGGGTGGTACTGTTTGAGGGGAGCTCTAGGGGACGCATAGGAGGGGATTTACTTCAAGATAGATATACTTGGCTCTTAGCTGGAGGGGACTAATAAGTCCTTTGCAGTTTAGGAATCCGAAAATATAATAAAAATAATTACTAATCTACTTATAAAACTTGTTCTCCACCTTTGCTTGAGTCTCATTAAAGCCCAGGACTTGGGTGTTAGGGTGTGCATTGTAGTGGAATGCAGTTTTATTCCAGTTGACAGTTAAAAGGAGAGATGGTAATACTTTCCTTCCCGCAGGCATTAGTCAGGAGGGCGTTTTGGTGATGGATGTGTTATTGGGCACGTCCAACGTTGTAAAACTCATAGCGAGTGATGAGTAGAGGGGCAAACATAAGTCGACTAAGGCTCACTGGTTAAGATGTGGTTTTGATGTTAGTACTTATCTCCAGCTCCTCGTATATTTCCAGAACTTGAGGTACTTTTAATGAGGCTTGGTCAACCGGTACTTGAAGGACTCTTTTGATGTGCGCGTGGACGACATATTCTAGAGCGACTGAATATACTTCTATATTAAAGCCGTGGGCACGTGAGTTTATGATTTTCGAGATCGATGTGAAAAAAGAGGTGCAATCGGCTCATTTTGCTCGCGTTAAATTGGTAACATAAAAACCTCATTTTCTTCAATTTTATCGCTTTAAGGAACGAGAGTATCTAAGGGTCGGGTATTATGTCCCTTAAAACGCTCATTCGTAACTCCCATCTATAAAATCATCTCTTAAAAGCCCTCATCCGACCATAAACATTGAGGAGGATTTGAAATTTGAATTTGGTTTCAATTAACCCGATCAGGCACCCTATGGGTCCATGCAGGTGACTATCTTCATTATTTACAAAGGAGGGAACCAATTTGGTGAAAACCCCCTGATACTGTCTTTCTATATTCCTATTGATTTATTTAGTTTACCTTCAGGAAGTGCAGTGTATACTGTTCAGCCCGTGTGGATTCCGTCCTCTCCCCTTCCAGATCTATTTACTTTATCTGACATTGCTACCTCGACTTCTCCTGTAAGTCGAAACTCCTTTATCCACCCTTTGCTTAGTATCCACTGTGTGATTCTAGCCACATCTTCTGGGCTGTTCATCATGGCTTCAAATGACCTGTCTTTAGCTCGTCGGAGAAAGTTGCCTCTTCCATTTGCCCACTGCGAACACGTCGACACCATGTACTTGACGTTTTGCGACGGATTTCCACTTTGACAGCTTGGCTTTTCTACTCTGAGTACTTTTCTTCTGCATAAGTAAGAGTTGAGTCCGATATGCTCGCTTCTTAGCTGAATGGCGACACTGCTTTGGGCCCTGGTCAGGTATTGAGGAGGATTTAAAATATCTTCATAGATCTTCTTACCCAACCCGCGGACTGTTTTACGTGAACTGCGTCAATCTGGATTGAAGCTTAGTTTCGTCGAAAATATTTTGAGTCAATCTGCAGGTTGTTTCAAGACCTCCACAGAATACGTTGTCTTGGCTGTCGCCTCTTTTTCCGAGATCCTATTACGGGTTCCGTGATATGAATTTAGGCAGGACAGATTATTTAGAATTGTGATTGACGTATTTGCCTATACAGAGACGTGTGCAGAACATTCTGCATTGGGTCTAAAGGATGTTGTCTTCTCTTTGGGTGGCAGGTAATACAACGCCAACCAATACGATCTCAGGTTGCCTAAATCCCTGACATGAAATTAAGCCAATTGTTGTATCATGAGTAGGAAGAAAATAATCACGATGAATAATTTATTTGTTGCCTGTAAACTTGAATTATTCTTCGAGTGGAGCCGAATAACAAGACCATAATCGATCTGATTCTAGGCATGTCTTGACATGATAATAATCAAATTTACCTTCTATTTAAGTCGAACGATTACATCAGCTAATGAAGGCCGAAAAAACTAGGTTTTAACCACGTCCATCCATACAGAGCGCGAAAAGAAGTCGCACGGTCTGGGCGAATCACACCTTCGCTCTCTGGCAGTACCAATCTCTAACACTGATACCACCGAACACACCTGACCCCACAATCAGTCCAGCTTATTTCCTCAAAGATAGCTGAAATTAAATACACCATGGAGAGAGTCTCAGCTATTGGAAAAAGCTTTTCGTAAGTTAAGTTGCATTACTAGTCCTAGTAAAAGCTGCTTATTATTTTGGAAGAACTTGGTAATGACTGAATTAACAGAGCAACTTTTTCGCCTTTTGCGGCACGCACACAACAGTATGTCAAGGAACAGCTTGGCCAAGCCGAGGACAAGGTCTGAAATATGCTCCTTTTGTAACCAGGCGTCAAATACTCAATCGTTCGTAGACCCAACTTCCCCCGGATTACTTGGAGCTTGAGAAGAGAGTAGATGCTCTAAAGCAGGTCCATCAAAAGATGCTTCAGGTTACGTGAGTTATCGACCTGTCTTATGGACTACCCTAATGCTCATTTGGCTCACCTTAGTTCTCAATTTTCGAACGAGGCCTACGATTACCCTGCAAACATCAAAGAGAGCTTTGGCGATCTTAGCCGTACCGTGGGTGAGAAAGTATCCCTCCTTACCACCGCAACCTCGACACTTGAGGCACAAGCAGCTCTGACTGGGCCCACTTCCACCAAACCTCAACCAAAGACTTTTAATCATGCAATCGCACGTGCCAGCTTAGCCAGTAGTCAAGTTCTTAATGAGCAACGTATGGGATCTGGCGAAGATCCTCTAGCAACAGCGCTCGAGAAATATGCATTGGCTAGTGAACGACTAGGTGAAGCACGTCTTGCACAGGATTCTCAGATTCAAAGTCGTTTTCTAGCTGCGTGGAACACTACACTAAACACAACGTTAACATTTGCTACGAGGGCCAGGAGAGGTGTTGAAAATTCAAGACTTCTACTCGATGCCGCCAAAGCAAAAGCCAAAAGCTCTAAGTGGACTTTACCGGGTCAGATGCCAAAATCTCCTGGCCTTCAAGAAGATGAGGTTACGAGTGAGGAAGTCAGAGTGGAAATTGAGCAAGCAGAAGACGAATTCGTTGGTCAAACCGAGGAAGCAGTGGGTGTGATGAAAAATGTACATTAATGTAACCCACTTTCGAGGCTGTAGCTAATTGAATAGGTTCTCAATACTCCGGAGCCCTTGCGCAATCTTGCTGATTTAATCTCGGCCCAACTCGAATACTATAAAAAAGGATACGAGATTCTCAGTGAACTTGCACCAATTGTCGATGGGCTTCGAACTGAGCAAGAAGTATGTTATATTTCGATATCTAAAACCTATCTCACAGGCTAACAACATAATGCAGGCTAGCTATCGAAAGAGTCGCGATGCAACTGCATAAATGATTTGGTTCGGATTGGGGCGTACATTATGTATGCTGCAGAGGCTCAAGTCGAGAGAAAAATTATTGATTTATTACAGCCCGGGAAGATAAGCTTCTACGATTGCTTTCAAAGGCGCCTTACCATACGCACGAAATAATTCGTAAATTTCCGGCTTTTGAAGCTCTAGGCAATTGGTAGAATATCTTCTCCTCTTACCTTGATAGCAGACCAAATTTTACCAGTTATATTGGTAATTAAGTAGTTATCCTTGTACATTTTTGCTTATGATTAAGTAGACAGAAGACATGGTATATATTTCTATTAAAACACATTAATGGCTCTGCGCATTTGCTCAAAAAATCTAACCATAGTAAAGTTGTATTCGCTGTAATCGTTTTGTTTATTTCCTGGGAGATTAAATACACTACAAAGACGAAAATTAAATCGATAAACGTAAATGAAACGATGGAGTATGAGATTTAGGACACAAGGACTATTATCTACCTTTCAATCATTTTTCAGAAGTATAATATCTCACGACTTTAGAGCTATTCATTTTGAACCAGGTACTTGCTTTTTGAACTGAGTACGTGATGATGGGCAACATAGTGCTAGGTGTGCTAGCCGAAGTATCCTTACAGATATGGTATATGAAAACTTCGGGGTATATTATAGCCAAATCAACACAGAGCTGGCTTGGACAACCCAACTTATTACTGCTAGTATTTATATTATAGTTCTTTTTTTGTCTATGACCACGTAAGACGTGTAGGTCTTCTCTACTTTCGCCAAAGATTCCAATGCAAATGGTAAATCCCTTCTATGCCTCCTATGCAGATGCACTCAAACAGTATCACATCATACGAGCCCTCATTCGATCATACGCTAAAAGGAGCCCTTTGTCCTCATCATTTACCCTCTCTAGCCAATGAAACGATTGCCTTCTGCAATTGTAAAGTAGCCAAAAGAAATTGCATAAATTGCTAATGCAGGACTCTTCTAGCGCCGATATGAGGACCAAAACCCGGGAATCCAGCCAACCTTCTGTAACGTTCGAAGGTGCCGTCTTAAAGACAAACCCTTGTGGACTGCTGATGCTACTAATTACAGTCCTCCGATGAGTATAAAGTCTGAACACCTTACTGCATTAGCCTCTACGAACCTGGGAGTAAAATTTTCTCCCTGAACCAAGCTAAGTCAAAATACGCAATACCAAAGAATTTGGCCCACGAGACAATTATTCAAGTCTCCCAACCAGGTCAGTCTCATCAGGTGTAGTATCTGGAATTTTGGCGAGGTATTATGCAAATTAAGCTTTATGCGCATTAGGACTTCGGTTGCAAGAGTGCAACTGACACTACAAAAACAAGCCAACGAAAGAATATGCTATGATCTGACTCCTGGTGACGAGCTCTTGTATAGTTTGAATAGTTTGGGCACCTAATCTACTTGAGAATGAGACGCCTCAGACCACATTTCGCGCGGAGAAAATTTAATGGTTGATGAAGACTTGTCCAGGTGACTCGGGATTTTTTAGACGTTTTCCCAGATCAGTATTCACGGATGCGGGTCGACTTTGGGTGAAAAAGGAGCCCCCACAACTCCGCACTCGTATTTGCAGAAGAAATCCGAGACAAGAATACTCTTGTATTAAATTGAGTCATCAATTTGTACTATTTCTCCGATATTATGTCATGGCCAGCTAGCTGCATACACAATTCAAATCTGATGCAGAAAATCTAAAAAAGAGGATGGGAGCACTAGACAAGGTGTGATCTGGATCAGAAAGGTATTCAATGGGCTGGATTGTGTTTGGCTCAGGTATCACAAAAAACCAAGCTAACCAGCGCGTCGACCAAAGTGTGACGAGCGAGGAGGTGCCTTTTCTTCTCAACCATGCCTGACTTTAGTCTTTTCAAAGAGAGAAATGACAAAATTTGCAGATTTAACTGAATAATTGTCGGGAGAGATGCCCTCAGCGTCAACTTGATATTTTTAGAGAGATACGATGGCGGGTATGTTTTATTGATAGCTTTCCTCTACAGATTGTCGCAGGCCATCCTAATGGACTCGTGTAGAGTAATCGAACAGGATATAAAAAGAATATGTTACAGGCTGATGCATCGTACAGTAATACCCCTGTTAAGACGATGTAATCGGGGCCATGTAAAATATCGTAATATAAAGGATATCGCCGTAAAGGGTATGATTATCTAATCCAGCTATCTAGGCTACTTTTTACCTTTGATGCCTCTTTAATACACCAAATAACCGTCTTTAATCGCTCTTATAGTCTCAAGGTCAGGCCATTTTCAAGCTCGCTGTGGTAGCACAGCAGTACTTGTAGCTTCGTTGAGTTTCGCAAAGGTATTGCTCAAGGACTCGGAGACTGTGGACTGGCTTAATCGATGGCCGTACTCAGCGAAGAACCATTCAATGCACTGTTTTTGTGTTGGTTTTCGGACCTGGCGGTGCGCCCATCGTCGCAGAGCACGTCGTCGCTCTACAGAAATTCCTCTTTTCGGCGGCATTATTAGCACCAATCTAGCAAAAAAACCCTGGTTAAGATTATACTCAGAGGTTGTAGAACGATAATCGAGTAATCGGTAAATTTATGAAAACGAAGATCGTTCCGGAAATATATCGTACAAACGGCATTATCGACTTAACAGGGGTCTTACTATGTGTGGATCCGGAACTACTCGACTCCAGCTATGAACAGGTGTTGTGATCAAAGCATGAAGCTTTATTATATTTATTTATATTAACGACGTGCCTGCGCACAAAACAGTCAATTTTTTGAAATACGAATTTTCGAATCTTCACCTTTTTCCCGTCTCCCTCACTCATGCGCTCGTCGTATTCTATCAAAAAATTGTGATCGAGTCACTGGCATTTTCACCATGCCACCTGTTTGAAAAAAGCGTCCCAACGCCAAGTTGGACAACACGAGAGTCCGCCCGAGGGCTCTCGAGCAAGTACCTGGCCTTGCCCAGTCTCCGAAATGCGCGTAGATGAGCAAGGTCTCAATCAAAGGGAAGGAAAAAGCCCTCCCCGCCGTCACTAAACCTGATACTGACATGATCGGGTCAATCGACATTGTTGGGGAAATTCCTCAACCACCCTCCGTCCCCCACGGGATTGGAGAATCATCCAAACCACCTCCGACCGTGTCAAAACCGTCGGAGAACGCTGCACCCATAGCAGCGCCAAAATTAACGTAGCAGCCCAAAGCTGCCACGAAAGCAGAGTGTCCCCTCGAGCTCCGACCAATAGTCGAAGCTGAACAACGACGCGCCGCCGAAATAGCGGCAAATCTGGCCCTCTGCTCCGCCGCCATCTCTGGCGTCGAAGCAACCCTTCTCCCTTTGACCAACGGGTCAAATAGACAATTCGTAGACTCGATGAGAGTCTACTTACGCGCCGCCATTGCGCAATACATGGCCACGGGCCCGGCCACTACGCCACCCGTCCTCCCTCCTCGCCCGGCGAACCCAACCTCAAGGGCTCCCGAAGCTAGGAGTAACACAACTCCCGCCGTCCCAGCTCTGCCTGTCAAAAGCACCTGGGCCACGGTGGCCAGGAACGGACTGCGACAGAAAGCAGTCCCAACTACAAAGGCTGTGCCACAACCTGCGGCAAAAGCCCACCAAAAAGAAAACCCCAAGGCGAAAGTCGATAAGCGACTGTTCCTTCGCCTTGAAAAGGACCATCCGTGGCGAAAACTGTCCACAAGTTGCGCGAGATGTAAATTGGAGATGAGATTCCTTTTCTTTCACGATAAAATAACCTCGCTTCATCGAGTGAGGACCGGCTTTGCTTTGCTAGCAAAGGACGAAAAAACACGACAAGAGATGCTAGATGACTCTTCGAAGCTGGCTAGTGAAAACGCCAAACTCGAGGCATCCTCAGATATTGTAGCCTTACAGATACCAAACGTACCTGTAAGTATAATCACAGAGCGAGGCCCTATGGCGGTCGATTCTGAGTGGGTCTTCGACAAGATCGCTGTTATGACCGGCGCAAGACCAATACACGTCCGACCTCATGGGACATGTCGACCTGGGGCACCGCACCGAAACTGGCATGCCCTTTTCGACCGGGAAGTCGCCCCTCGTGCGGGCTTCCGCCTCTTCGACGAGTCTGGTAGGGCTACCGTACACAAGCCTCGTCGACAAATTGAACAGCGTAAACGCTGTTTGGGCTTCCACGTTACTCGTGGTTGCTCCCGCGCTCCAGCCTGCTGGAACTGTGGATCTAACATGCACTCGGAAGCCGAGTGCAAGGCCCTCATTAAGTGTCGCAACTGTGGGGGACCCCACCGATCGGATTCTCGGGACTGCAAAGTCAGACCCAGAAATTCTAGGCCGGTGACAAAAGAGCAGCTCGCATGGATACGCCACCTCGAGCAAGGAAAGTTCGCGGAGGCGGCTCGAGCTAGGGCTGCAGCCAAAAAGGCCGAAGAGGCGATTGTCGCCGCGGCGAAGGATACCGCAATGGCCGAGGCAACAGGTTTTGGAGTGCTGGGACCTGAAGAAGAAGTTTGAGGACACAGCAACCTCGACGATGTCCCCTTCTGGGGCATCTACTAATAATTAGCAGGATACCGGCTGGATCAAAGGTGCCTGCTAACTCATCTACTGCTCTCAGCAGAGATTAAGTAAATTTGTCATTTGGAAGGTGTGACGGACGAGGGAATGTGTGAGGAGCACATTGCTTGGGTCCAATATGGAGGAATCTTCTGGTTTTTTCGGAGTTGTTTTGATTTTCTTGATTTTTCGTTTCAGTTTAATCAGCTGCACTTTTGGTAGCGATTCACGAGGTTGGAACGAGTTAGGCTGTAGGAAAGATTACAGGGAACCCTGCCGGCTCCGCCTGTCCTTGACCCAATGTGGAAAACATAGCTTTAGCTTAGGACAAAATAAGTAAAACAAAAAACAAAAACAACCAATTTTTTGAAATCGATGAAAAATTCACCTACCCATCCCCTCAACCCTTCAATTCACAGTTTCATAAG